TCTCTCTCTCTCTCTCTCTCTCTCTCTCTCTGTGCGCACGTATGTTTTTTTCAGACTGTTTTTATAACTGTTTAAGTTAATCGAACGATTTATTCTAAGATTAAAATACAATTTTCAACCACGTATATTTATATATTTTGAACATATTAAGTATGATATAATTTATTCTAAATAATAAAAGAAAATTTTTCTAAAATTTAGTTGGACATTTATAATATAGAACCTTATTATTGCTATTCGACAAAAAGTAACTATAAATTTTCATTAAATAATAATGTTATTTTAAGACTTTTATTATGTCATTTGGTTAAAAAAAATATTGTCTAAGTACTAATATTAAGTTAATTTCATTCATTCACTAAAAACATTACTAAGATTGAATTAAAACTCTCCGATACATAAAATAAAATAATGAAATAATTATCACGATGATAGTTTTAGCGATTAATGTAATTTATTAAAAAATTATTTTCAATATATTGGAGAAATTATAGAAAAATAACAAAAGATTAATAAAGAAACGATAATACATCAAGATAAAAAATGTTAAGAGACAATAATAAAGAATAAAAATTAAATGCAATAATTTACAAAAAAACAATTGAGGCAATAGCATCAAATAAATAAAAATCAATAGAAAATAATTATAATATATGGGTGGTAGCAAGAAAAAAAAATTTTACAGTAATAAAGTATTCAGCATAAGCGATTCTTAAATTCGATAAGCCTTCGATTTATCCGATTAAAATCAAAGAACATTCATCCATATGTTCAAATGAAAATATCGAGAGGTAGAACCTGCTACTTTGCTCATGAAAGTGAACTGTCGGCGACGAGAGCATATCTCCACGGGGAGTACTCGAATGTACTTCTTCATGCCTCGGAAAAGTTCTGATCCTGCGTATGTCTCGGTTTAGGCTCTTACACCTTGGCTTGGGCCAACTGCGCTGTGGTTCGCAAAGAGAGGGACTCGTCTCCGTTAATTCGTTACACGACGAACTCGTTACCTAATGCATCAATTCAGTTGTAGCTATTGAATTTGCGAGCACTGAGCTACGAAATGTGATAGCCTTTTTTTAAGTTTGAAAAATATTGTAAGCGGTATGGCGGAACGTAACAAATAAAGAAAGGAAATCACGTTCGTTTTCATGGGCTCTCTTACGATTAGATTAATACTTAACCACAAATTAAAAATGGTACAATGGCATTTTAGGTTGTGGTTGAAGGGGATTCGGTAATAAAATAACGAAGTGGCGTGTACCAAACGATGGAACTTTGAGAGAGGCACAAGCCTGCCGTTTTCTGGCGGTTTATTGAAAGGCACTCTCAGGTAACCATTTTTCAGTTGTCGATAAAGCTCCAGTAGATAGTCATTCCTGAGGCTGCGCTGGTCCTCGGCATGGTCGAAACGCTCAAGCCAAAGCCGGCAATGACGGGAGTCGCTTGATATCGCCAAATTCAACAGATATGGTTTAACCCGATACAAGATGTCCTCAAATTGCTCATCGAGAATCTGTGCGTGTCGGTCGTCGAACTTCGACATCTTTCGCCCTCGAATGTACTTTATTTAAAAGAATTTATTAACTTCGTGTAGCGACGCCTCCCGACATTATGCCCGGAAACAATAAGAAAGAAAGGCTTCTGAATTTAATGAATGGGTTTTCCTCCACGAACGCGAGAATACGTGAAAAATTCAGACATTCATTTTTTTTAACGCTATATATTATGCACATGCACATGCACATAATTAAAATATACAATATAATTGTGCCTATAGATATTATGTTAAATATATTTTTAGTTTTCAGATTTTTAGTATATTTTTTTGTTATTTTTATGATATAGTTTATAAATTGCTGCTTATCTTGATTTGATTCTCTGCCGTTTTTTTCAATTTCATTAATTTTGCCTTCATGGGATCAATGTTTGTGCCAATCCATTCATCTAACATTGCCGTAAAATAATAATGTTCCATTTGAACGCGTAAATAACTCTCGAGTGTCGATAATTCAATTAGCATACTGTGAATATAAGACTATATGTAAATATGACGGAATTTGTTCAATTATTGTTAAATGCAGATATAACAATAATTATATATTAATACAATTATTGTTATATGCAGATATAACAATAAGCATACTGTAAATATAGATATTATTCATTTTTTATTAAATAAAAGAATTTTACTTTATTCATATAATACTAACTTAGTAAACACTGGAATTAAACTTTCTAGCTGCATTGGATTTGTGTAATTTTTTCCAATTTGCCAATGATTCATCCACGTTAAAATCCTAATAAATTAATTACTATTTATTATATAAATTGTACGAGTTATTTATGCTGTGTGTACATTCATATAATTTAAGAATAATTTAAGAATCATATAACATTCAGAAATGCATGTATACGCGCGTGCGGGCGCACCCATGCACATACGTGAAAAACACAATACAAAAATAAAATATATGTATATTAACTTTCATTTCAATACATTTAACAGATTTTTTATTTATTTAAATCTATGTAAACATAAGAATTGAATGAAAGAATTGATTTATTATTTGTATGTTTTTGAATAAAAAACCTGTCTTACTGCTCACTATTTACAAGTCCATGAAATTTAGTTTT